ACTCCGCATATGAAAGGGGTGGGAATGCTCGTCAGAAATTTTGCATTAGACCCCTAAGGGAGACCGATCTGGGCGTGGCCCAAGCTTTTTTTGACCCCTGATTAAAAAGAGACCATGTTAAAACACAGACAATACATATATTTTGATATTTTTTCGCGTGCAACCCTAAACGAGATCTTCACGGCTAAATATGATGGCGTTTTACCCAGAACACCCTAAGTGAGACCAAGATCCGAAATTTACATTCCTAAGGGAGACGACGAGCATCCCCACCCCTTTCATATGCCGAGTCCCCCCCGCCCCTCCGGGCCCTTATCTACTCTTCTTTCTAATTATATTTAAGACGATAAAACGACAGTTTTAAAAAAGGGGGATACGAGGGCATTTTTTAAAGTTGTAATACTTTGTTACGTTGATGTGACACTGCGTCATGTCTCGGGTCCTTTTTAAATGTTTAACAGCCCGCTCATTTAACACATCTTTAGATTACTTGTAATAGTTTAGCAAGGTCACGTCAAAATTAGCACTCGGTCACTTATGGCTTCCGTTGTTCAGGGTAAATTGCTAATGGATTTCTGTTTAGTATGAAAAATGTGTCGGTTGAGTTTATTTGTGCGGATAGTAATAGCCCTTGCGACGATCACGAACTAAGTTTTTCGTTCTTAAATTAATTGATGCTCATTCCTGTCATTCCAGAGGACATGTCGGGACATAAAACTTCGTCCCAAATCTTGATAAACTTGTGGAGCCATGTGCGGTGGGGCTTACCCCATGACGAAGGGGGAAAAGCCTAAGTATCATCTGTTTGTACACTTGCACAGCTGATTTGAAAAGGATTTCCACAGTTCGCAACAACAGTTGGAGGACAAAATATGTTGACGATATGGATCTGTTTCGTGTTATTCTCCTCCACAGGTTTGAGCGGTAAGAGCCAGACGAGTACTTGCATTTTTCTCATTTACTTTTTGAAAGTTTACAGCTGTTACAGCCCTCGCACAATCACGTAACATAACTGAAAGAGCTTGAAAGCATACACTGAAATACTACCCTCTCACGCAGACGTTTTTGTACTACATCTGCTACATAATTTGGTTTTTAATGCCCAAAAATTATTATACGTAAATAGGAAAAGAACGACTAAAAATTTCCAGTTCTAATTTATGGTAATATCATGATAATATCGGAATGGTTCACTCTTACAAACGACCGCGCTGTATTTTGCCCACCGTCCTAAAACTGAGAAAATTTGTTGTCGCGATCTAGAGATCAGTAATGCCCAGTGAATGCTTATACTTGGTTTATATGAAATTGTACTTTTAACGGGGGGTGACAGCTCTAACAAGGGCTGTTTCGGGAGAAAGACAAATTTATTCCGGGAATCTGGATATTTTGCCGGGAACCGGGAAACCTGGGAAATTTTTCGGGAAATATGAGATATTTTCGGGACATTGAGCAAAGATTTGATATTACATGTTATCAAACAATATATATACAGTGATATGCACCCAGTGAATGCGCCGTACTCTATGTATTTTGACACTTGAAAATGGCTGAACTCCCCATTATATGAAAAGACCAATCAGCAACGTTTCCAACTAAAATAGCATGAAGTTCGAGTGCAATTGATTAGGTGCAATCCCCAGCGGATTGACACAAGAACCGTACCGGTGCAAGGCACACAGTATCAGTTCACACCAGATCCCATCATTTATTAGTTCAGGGGTATTTTACGCTGCAAGTTAACGAGAGCACATTCCACTGATTGCATACTGGAAAACTTGAAAGAAGTACGTAAGAAGTATGTAATAAAAAAACGAAACTCATTTAACCTTGTTAAACACAAATGAGGCCATAAAAAGTAATATGTCTGTGAAGACTTCTTAATCATCCTGATCTCGTCGGGGTCCTTCCGATTTTGCTCGAAAATCCCGAATCTCGATCAATACGCGTTCGGGATAGGAAAATTTCAGGTTTTGACAGTTGTTCTGAAAATTTCAAATGAATTCTTATGACAAACTCATACAATGACACCACACAGAGTATACTTAGCTGAAAGTGATATTCAGAGCAATTTCAAAAACCGCACAGCTTGTATAAAATAAAATTGACTACTTCTACGCGAAGTCACGCCAGTAAAAATAAGCATAAAAAGGACAATTGATTTAGAGAACATTTCGGACAGAATTTGTCCTCTCAGAACACTGGAAATGGAGTTTCAGAGCACAAAGATTTCAAAATTTTCTGGGAGAGCATGCCCCCAGACCCCCCTAGTAGTAGGCCCCTTCACTGCTCGCCTGATTCATCGGTGATTAAAAAACAAAAAAACACGATTTTATATACTTTAAAAAAAGCTTGACAGTCTTTCTGTGTTAACATGATACCCGCTAAACGAGAAAATAACTAAGGTTCGATAATTAACAGGTAACATAATTAACAAGAAAAGTCTCTAATCAAAATTTTAATTTTAATTGTTAAAATTAAAATTAAGGGAAGTGACACATTTATGGGGAATGCCACCGAAAAATTCGGGAGGGTCGACGTAATTTCCGGGAGAACATAAAGTTATTCATAGGACTGCCCAAACAACCTTTGTTAGAGTTGTCACCCCCCGGTACTTTTAAGAGCGCTTAAAATCGAAGCGATAATTGGGAAATTTGTGAATACTTGTGATCACGAGTAACGCATAAGACTATCCTGAAGAACGTTGCGGTCAATTAAACAAATGCTCTTAAACATGGAAAAAGGATCAGTACATTCTGATAAAATTCGGCTGTTGTAAATTGTAAATTTTAGACAAAGTGTTACGGTTCAGTCGTATGGGAGAGACAAGAGTTTTGACTTTGCTTTTGTTCTAATTCGGTTTCTTTTCGTCTTACTCATGTATCATCGCGGCTCCTCTGTTTCATCAGTTGATTTCTATATATTCGGCAGTTAATTCATTTTCATTTTCTGAACTGGCAGTTTTTGAAAGCAACCAATATCGCCTCCTTCAATCCTAAGGCGTTCTACACTAATATATGTATCTATGATGACTCGACTGTCCCTGCAACCCATTCCGGCACTATTTATTCTTTGGTCTATTTATACTGCTCTGACTTGTTTACTAGCACATTTTCCCTTAACTGACTCAGTTTTTTTTATTAAACATGGAGGACAAAACATAAGACGACTGTCGTCAAAGTCTGCGAGAATAGCTATTAGAATTACTTTCTTTATCTGGTGTTTAATATCAACGCATATCTTCATATTGCGGTCTGTTTGTGAAATTAACATATCCTTTGTCCTTGACGACATATCAAATATTGATGACGAAATTCGATTACAGTCTATTATTTTATCACCAATGCAATAAATCTTTAGTTAGTTTATTGCTTTGATTTTCCTTTATTTTTGGCCCCTGATATAAAGAACATTATGTCAAAGCATCATTGCTTAAGAAACTAACAGGTATACATGCTAATAATTGCTATAATTTTATTTATCTTTTTTGGACGCTCACCCATCCCTACAATATCTCAGCCTTTCTGTGGGTCGAAGTCGCGACGATCGCTATCGAATAAAAGTTTGACAATGTTATTCAGGCGATCATGAATGATGCCCGGGGGGAGGATTCCCCATATGAAAGGTGTGGGGATGCTCGTCGTCTCGCTTAGGGGTATAAATTTCGGATTTTGGTCTCACTTAGGGTGTCCTGGGCAAAACGCCATCATATTTAGCCGTGAAGGTCTCGTTTAGGGTTGCACGCGAAAAATATATATTGTCTGTGTTTTAACATGGTCTCTTTTAGGGGTCAAAACAAGCTTGGGCCCCGCCCAGATCGGTCTCCTTTAGGGGTTTAATTCAAAATTTCCGACGAGCATCCGACCCCTTTCATATGCGACGTCCCCCCCTCTCGCCCGAGGGATGATGGTACAATGGAATCTGCCAGGATTCTGCTGCACATTCAGAGCTTTTGTTGTGCTTTATATTAAAGCTGTTGCTGTTTCCTCCTTCGTCCGTCGTGGTTGCTTAACGCGTAAAACAATAAATTCTTTATTCGGAGTGATTTCGTTGAAAAAACGACGATGAATTGATAGAAAACGCGCGAAGAAAACAGCATCCGTCGGTAACCACAGAGAGGCTCATGAGAAAGGATTTGAAACGTTTAACCCGGCGGAAGCGAGCCGGTCGATTTACGTTTCAAGTATGCCAAAAGTATCAAACTGAGCTAAACTGGTGGATAAATGACCACATCTCAGCTTCAGTTGTATTTCCCGCTGCCCTTTCAATTTGCCGAAGTTCTAGTTATTAGCGTTGTTATCATGGGGGGACTTTTTTTCTTGTTTAGGAATAGGAAATCGACTTGATTGTAGTATAAACAAAATCAATACATAACATTTAAAACCATCATGAGAAAACCACAGACAATACGAAGCGTTGAAATGTTATCTAAACATTGGGCATTGTCTGGGTTCAAGCGTGCATGAATGATTCTGTTGGCTCAGTTTATTGCGGGGAGGTCCACTTTAATAATAACTGTTACACATAATTTTCATGTCATCACTCTTATTTAACCCGGAATGACAACCAATTATCGGTTTGTATTCACAAAAGAAAAAGAAAAACACGGTCAATCATCAGTGACATTGTTAAAAAACATTGCAAAAAGGAACAAAACTTTGAAACTTAACCAGACTATACCTAAAAGATAATTAAAATTGATTACCATGCAGATTTGATTCGGATTTTCACCTGATATTGTTGAAGAAAGTTAACATACTTTGTTTCGCTTTCGATCTCCCTTTGAGTTATTTCCCTTTTCACTTGCTTCGAATAGTTCTCGTTTTTCTCTGATTAACAAGAGCTAAAAATATTTCACCGGGAATGTTACGTTGCAGCTGTTGCATCATCTTGATAAAGCCTACAGGCCATATGAAACCTTCAGTCATTGTCTGAAGTCTTTACGAAGTGTTTCAGTTGGTTGTGAGATTAGAGACGTTTGTCGCCTATATCCATAAAATATGTCGACAGCTAGTAGGTCATTCGCATTTAATATACTCGTCGTCATAGCTTTGAAAGGTAAGTACATCCTACTACTATTGTGTCTCGAAAACCAAGGCGTTTGTTTTCACAGCAAAAATCAAAATTCAAGTACGTGGTTGCAATTGTTTCTTTAATAAAACATCGATCACTGGGCGAAGTAGTAAATGCGATGGTCATTAGTCTTTGACAAAACTGCAGCCCAGTAATTGCTGTAAGCTTACAGAGCTACAGTAAAGACCGAAATTCCATTATAAAAAGGTATGATAACTAAGCAGTAGTCTTAACCAACTATCAAGGAAACTCAAAAGAAGTCTGGGACCCTGACCGATTTAAAAGCAATAAAGATGAAAGATCTATTTTATTCAGTCACTTGCTATTGTCTTGCGGACTCAGAGGTCATCTCGAGTGCCTTGGGGCTTTTGTAAAAATAGAAAAGATAACGAGGAATACATAGATCGCTATATCCATGTTTTTAACTTAAAGTGGAATCGATAATATTCAAAACCAATACTTGCTTAACAAGCGAATACACCAGGGGTCAATCCAAAATCCCCCTCTGGCAATTGTTTTGAAAAGGAAAGAGTTTACCGCTTGTAAGTAGACAAGTGTCTCTATAAGTTCCATTATCGTTATGTCTTCTTTTCAATCGTTTATTTTGATGTTGTTTACAATATCAACTTTTTCAGACAATTTCGACTCAACCTGCGTCATCGACAAAAACAAACAATACAATAACATGAAAAACATCTACATCAAATCGCAATAACTAGATTAAAAGCTTTTGTTCGTTCATTTATTTATTTATTCATTCATCCATTCATTCACTTATTGACCTTCGTTCACAGTTAAGGTTAAACGACACTCTTAACGGTTTGGGCTGAAAAGAGTTTAAAAGCTATAGGTCAAGCTTTAGTCAGATTTAGTTGCTTGACCGGATTGGAAATTGACTTCTGTCTATTATCTTTTCTTTTACTTACAAATTATTTTGTTTCCCTGCCTTTTTTTTTTTCTTTAGGTGCTCGTGCTGAAGACGTGAATGTTTGTCCAAAAGAAATGGTCGAATTGTATTGTCCTCCTCTTGAGCCAGCCATCCGGAACGGAGATTACAGAGAACTCATCTGGAAAGTCGCCGACCCTGGTGACAAATCTGAACGAGAAATAGGTTATTGTGATGAAAAACTCAGCTGTACCAGATATAATTCCCTGGGAAACTTTGAGAAACGTATCACGATCGATCGTCCTGTAAATGGAACATTGTACGTGGAGCAGCGGATCAAGGATGACTTACTGACATTCACATGCTCTGTGCAAAGAAAACACAACAAACACCCACTCGTTTACCAAGTAAATGTTTCCTCTTCCGTGAATTGTAAGTGGAATTTGATGGGTATTTTCTTTTCTTGTTTTTACTTTTATCCCTCAGTTAGTGCGCGCACTGTGATTGGTTGGCGGTTTAGCGGGCCGGATCAATCACTGTATATATACGGCCCGAAAATTTGAAGGTTTGCTTTCAGTTTGGTTGCAATTTAATTGTGAGCTTAAGACCATAATGAATATTATAATTGGGGTTAAAGGAATGTTTTTGACGACTTAAAGTCACAATTTTGGTCACTCCTGTTTATGAGTTGACGCACTTAGATCATCAACAGCCGTCCTGCTTGAATTGAAAGATAAATACTATTTTTCTCGATCTGTACTGAAAGTTACGGAACCTTGGGCCATTAATCCTAGCAGAAATACAACATCTTGCTCTGATTGGCTGATAGTCACTATAGTTCCAAACGTATTAAAATCGCTTTCAGCTCTGCATTCGAAATGTTTTTCATCGATGGAAACTTGAAAGAGGTTGCGTTTGTAGGCTGTAAATTTCAAGCCAAATTCTGCAATTTTGTTGGCCTATTTGATTCAACCATCCACTTGAGAAAAAGTTCCCATGTTGCCGTGCGACTGTTCAGAAATAGACCAAAATAGATCACAGATAACGTCAAAATGTGGTACGAACATGGAACACGAGGCACAGGCGAGTGTGGAATCCCTGCTAAATGGGCATGTGGGCCTGTGGTCCAAGTGAGCAAAGGCTGTTAAAATGCATGAATGTTTTCGTACTTTGATCAAGGCTTTATTTTCATCTTTTCAGGCCTGACTTTAATTGCAAATCAAACTTTTAACCTCAGCGGGGCACTAGGTAAAATGGTCTCCATAGGTAACAATCAAGACATGTGGTGGTACTGGATCAAACGCGATGGAAAAGCGCAGAAGATTGCATATTGTAACTCCGAGTCGTGCGTGTTCGACGAGTGTAACAGTACCTGTCAATCAAGGCTCAGGATTGACGGAGCGACACTGGAATTGACGGAAGTTAGGGAAGAAGACCGTGGTTTGCAATTACAATGCCAAATATTTCCCAAATTCCAGGTGTACAAGATGAAAGTCAGTGTTGTACTGCCAAAAGGTCAGTCCAACTTACATCACAGATCGCGAATAAATAATTTTAAGGGGGGGGGGGTCTTTTTGTTGTTTTTTTTTTGGGGGGGATGGGGTTTATTTGAGAAGGAAAGAAATTAAGGTAGAAAAGGTATACAAATAAACCGGTTAGTCTCCTAATGAGCTTAAATTAAGGCACCCTGTTTTGATGGTAGACTATCTGGTATAATTATTTGTCTACTAATTATTCTCTTCCTTTTTTTAATTTTAACAACCCCCAAATCCAGTATTTTCCATTTTCTATAGTTTCAATCATTCCCCCATTTCTATCGATTTCATCTGGATAGGCATTTATTGCTGAACTAAATATTTCTTTTTTTTATTGACCTAGACTCTGTTAGCAGCACAAGTAGTACTCATGGCAAGAATGAAAAGGTGCCTTCTAACAACACTAAGACGACTTCCGAAACATCAAGAAAGAGCAAAGCTGGGACCTATGGTACACAAAACTCGGCAAGCAGCAGGACCTTATTAGCGTTTTTGTCAATTCTGATCACTTCATTTGGAGTTTAGCAGTTTTAGAAATTTCTTGACAAATTTATCTCTTTTGGATTCCTTGTAGCTGCTCTCGAATTCTCACAAAATATTCGATCATATAATGCCCTAGGAAAAACTATAACGTTATCTATTCATTAGAACAAAGTGACGGGCGGATTGAGTCCAGTAACAGTGAATAGAAAAGGCATTAAGGAAGGGGCTATTGCAAGTTATTCAGAAAACTATTAAACAGGAATCCGATAACCCATAATTTTATAGGAAGTGGAATTTTCTTGGCAGAATTGCAATCTAGCCGACTTCTTGGATTCCAGTTACTTAAAAAATCCAGTTTTCGTTTTAAGAACGACGAGAAAGGACCTGGGCTATTTAATTTCTGGCCTTATGCTTCGAAAAAGTACAAAACAGCCTGGCGGGCCCAAAAACGATTTTACTTCTGACAAAATGCGTTTGTAGTGTGTTTATAAGGACAAATTAGGAAGGCAAAAACTCAGAAATACAAATGACAAAAATTCCTTTATTCAGACAAGAGGACTCCTCTCAATGGGTTGTGTAATATATTTATAAGCGTAAGCTAAGCTTTTTGAAAGCAGTAATATAATATACTCAATTAACGTTGTACGTTATCTTGTGAAATAATACCTGAAGCTTTATAAGTTAAATACAAGTTTCATAGTCTTGTAAATGTATTCTTGACAATAAATGATGATTACAATCTCAGAGTTATAACAATGACTTTATACCTGTAAGTAATTTACAAATATTTCGTGGCTTCCTAGAAAAATGGTTTTGCTTACATACGTTATACGTCAAGCAACTAAAGCTTACAAAACTGTAAATGCCGCAAGGAACTGCGCTCAGGCACTAATTCAGTTAGATTAGTGGCCCCGACCGAAAACGGCACTTTCCAAGATCTTAGGCGTTGAAGCTATTTAACAATCTACCAGAAACTATTAGAAGCTGTAAAGATTAAATAACCTTTTTAAGATTTTCAAGGCATTTTTATGTAACAGAGTACAGTGTAATTAGCTAGTTTTTCTGTAATTTCGATTCTGTTTTATCTTGCTTCTACTTTTAACTGCAATATTGCATAATTTGTAAATAACTCAATTTGGTTTATTTTTAATTGTAATTGATGTACTTTAAAAGGGAAGAGCCAACCAGTGGATCTGTTAATAAACTATTATTATTATCAAGTATTATTATTGGATGTAAGAAAGGAAAAGCCCCACAATTAAAGACTAAAAAACATTTTAGCATTGACGGCAAGAAGTTTCTTTTTTCTGATTGGTGAGAAACCTACTTCGATCTACTGTCCTGGACGACTGACCATGCACTAAACTTTTCGTTCTGAATTTCGCATGTGTTTCGCTGATACGTGCGAAAGTTCGTGACATTCCATATGCACGTGCTCGTTGAAGCCCTTGATATTTAGTATTCATAAATCGTACCTTTCAGTAAAGCGAAATTGTAATTAATTCAAAGACATGAGTTGTAACTTGCAACAGTAGATTCGTCGTGGAAAAGAGTGGAGAGTGGATTACAAGAGTGGATTTGAGAGGACTCAATGGATCAAACATTCGCGGCTGCAGGACACAAATGCTACCGGGTACATATCGAGGAACATTGATCTGACATTCGTTTTATTATTTTATTTATGCGTTCTCGTGGTGATATTTGTACTTTAATTCTACTTTAGGTTTCGAAGGCGTTGTAATGCATCTTTGAGAAAGGTAATGAACATAGTGGATTGCAGCTAGCGAAACATTCGAAACCCGAAGCGTGACATCAATGATGGCTGATCAAGACGCCAAAAACCAGAGACGCGCTGCGAAAGGACGATTTACAAGAAAACTAGCTGAGTTAACGAAGTCGATCGAGGAGGACAAAGGATCAGAAATAGTGGTAGTGAACTTCGAGCAGCTGAACAAGGCATGGAGAAATGTGGAAGCCAAGCATGATATGCACACAACATTTTTAAAGGATAGCGAAGTAGAAGAAAGCGAAGCGTGGATAGCAGAGTTACAGAGTTCATTTAGCGAAGCTATGGAGAAACAGGTTGAATACATCGGCTCAAAGGCAGCTAAAGCGATGGTAGAGAAACAGGTACTCAGTCAGCAAGAGGCGGCTAAAAAAGACTACGAAAAAACTCAAAAGTTAATCGATCAAGCTTTCATAAAGCGAGACACGGAGGAAGCAGTTTTTAGAGCGCTGTCAGAGGACGCCTTTAAATTGTTGGAAGCGTGCGAAGCCGACAAGGATGTAGTTCCTGCTCTCAGGAAAGTTCAGCAGGCGTTAGAAGCTTCGTTAGCTGGTTGCAAAGTGGCGAATGACAAATATTTGGAATTTTTGAGCAGAGAAGAGGCCTCAACTGAGGTGGGATGGATTTTGGTCGTCCAGAAACGATACAATCAAGTTGTGGACAGGATTGAATCAGTCATTGCCAATCAAACAAAGGTGGAAGTGGGCCTGAAGAATCTTGAAGCGAAAGCTACTAACCTTCGCCTTGAAAAAATAAAGATGCCCCGGTTTAGCGGAGAGCTGAGAGAGTATCCGAGGTTTAGAAAAGACTTTGAAATTCAAGTTATGCCAAGTTTAAACAGCAGCACTGCGCCTTACACTTTACGTTCCTGCCTTTGCGAGGGGCCACTGGCGGTCGTGAGGGGGGTCGACGATGACATTGATGAAATGTGGCGACGCTTGGACGAGAAGTATGGTGATCCAGCCAAGATAACAGATGTGATTATTAATAGCATACAGCGAGTTAAAGCCATCAAAGAGGGAGAAGATAAGAGATTCGTCGAGTTTGTCGAAGTTATTGAAAGTGGTTATCGAGACTTGTTGAGGTTCGGACTAGAGAAAGAGATAACAACCACAAGCTCCGTAAGCATAATTGAAAAAAGGCTACCAGCTGATATTAGAAGAGAATGGGCGAGGCTCGTCAGCTCAGACTCGAGTAGCGTCGATAAGAAAAACAAATTTCCAGGCCTCCTCAAGTTTCTGCTCAACCAGAAAAGGGCAATCGAGTATGATTTATCAGATCTGCGAGCGTCCGGAAATCTCGGAAGTCAAGCTGGCCAACAGTCTGTTCATTGTGCTGATGCAGTGGCTGAAGATCTTAAAGAAAACAAGCAGCAGCCTTTTGAAAGCAAGAGTAGCAGTGCGTGCCTGTTTCACAATAGTGCCAGCCACGGAACCGATGAATGCCAGTTATACCTATCCAAGACTCGTGGTGAGCGAATGGACATGCTTAGAGAAAGGGGTGCATGCTGGTCCTGTTTGAAGATTGGACATCGTCTACGTGATTGCAGAAGCAGGAAAGCTTGTGGTGAAAATGGTTGCACAAGGACGCATCACAGAACATTACACGAGGAAAATCGGGAAGCCAGCGTTTCTGTAACAGCAAGTTCTTGCGGTGATCCTTTGAGCGACACATGTCTTCTTCTACTTCAAAGAGTTAGAACAGGAAAAGGCTGGGCCAACGTTATGTGGGACAATGCAGCATCATTAAGTTTCATCACCAACAGCAAGGCCAAAGCGGAAATGTTACACGGCACGAGAGTAGAAATATCTATCGTCAAAGTTGGAGGCACGAGTGAAACAATTATGTCTAACAGGTACCTTCTCCCGCTGATCGACTCTCAGGGACAAGTCGTACCGTTCGAAGTTTATGGTATTGATGTAATAACGGCGGACATTCAAAGTGTGAGCGTCAATAATGTAGTACATCTTTTTAAGGATGTTACACTGGAAGAGATAAGAAGACCAACCGGTAGTGTGGACGTGCTAATAGGATATGGATACGCCGGATACCACCCTGTACCAGAACAAAAATCGGGTCATTTGCTGTTGCTAAGAAACCGATTCGGAAGATGCCTCGGCGGCACTCACGCGGAGTTAAAGGATGCAAATCACGCAATGCAGAATGCCATCGTTCACCACGTAGCCGAAGTAAAGATCGAAGACTTCTACAATATCGAGAACCTGGGGCTGGAGTGTACGCCTCGCTGTGGGGGTTGCAAGTGTGGAAAATGTCCGCTCGGCGCGAAGAATTACAGTCTAAAGGAAGAGAAAGAGCTACAATTGATTGAGAGAAATCTGCACTTCAATAATCGTGAGCATAGATGGATGACTCAATATCCATGGATAAGAGACCCGGCTGATCTTCCAGACAATAGAAAGGCCGCATTCGGAATGCTATTGTCTACGGAAAAGAGACTCGCCAAGAATACTGACCACGCAAGAGTATATCAAGAGCAGGTACAAGATATGATAGACAGGGGCGTTGCCCGAAAGCTAACGCCGTCGTCTTGTAACTACCTGCACTGAACAGTAAACAATGTTTTTAATAAAATTCTCTACATCAGAAGTTGATCCAAGCTCTCTAAGTAATGAAAATAGATATCACTACCCCGGGATACAAAACATGTACAAGAAAGGCAACGTAGAATTTTAAGTTCTTTCCGCAATTTCAGAGTGAATTTCACCGCGGTGCATAAATTATTGTAATAATCAGGATGTTTAAAAACGTTTTAGGCACAACAAAAACAATTAGTCATTTACCGTTTTATCTGTTCCCGGTAAATAAGACGCTTACCTTTACTTTAGATTCTTGATGGAAGAAGTCTATCCAGCCAGCTGAAGTTATGCAGTTTCGTTAATTTCCATAATCAAATCATAGCGTGATTTGTCACGTAATGTTATGGTCACGTGGCTACGTAACCCGTCGGCGGCCAAAATCTTTGTGATAAACGAAATTTCTGTTTCTCTCCAGAAAAAAAAATGCCCTAATTGAATGAGTTTTTCCTCCTTAAAGTGCCCAAAATGCGTATCACACCGAGGAATTTGTATTGGTAATGAATCATTATTTTCACGGCATGGACTCCGCCCTTTCATATTTTCGGGCCCGGCCCGCATAGAGGGGGTGAGGGTGGGGGACAGTGGGATACCACTGATACCCGCTTTTGTTCTCATAAGATACCAATATAGCTAAAGATTTGTAAAACGTTTGATACCGA